TGGTATAAAATAATAGATTAAAATCTGTAAATTTATTAATATAAAAATTAAAAATATCATAAAGTGAGAGATATAAATTTATAAGATAAAAGAGGTAAAAATAACCCTGCGAAAAAGTATGTTTTAGCCCTTGTTCTATGGCTGCTGTAGTTCTCGTTATAGACAAAACACATTGCAATTGCACAAAGCTAAGTACACGGTGAGTAGGAAGCGATGATGGCCGCGCGAACAACCTTAAACCCTCCAAAAACCCCACTGTACTCCCTCAAATTTCAGAGACCCAATTCCCCATTCTCTTCAACCCCTTATTTTGTGCGAAAACCCAATTCCTGGAACTATCCGAAGATCTCTCTATCGGTGAAGTCCGGCCAAAATCACCATCAAAGCTCACAAGTAGCATCTCTGGATACTTTGCTTAATAGTGGTCGGAAAGAAGAATTCCTTGACGCCATCAAAGGCTCACTCCACAATTGTCTGTCGGAGACAAATCTTCACTTGACAGTTCCTGGTCTCAAATCGAAAATCAGAGGCAAGGTATGCCGTATTCTTTAATTTGTTAATTACAGCAAGATCGGGTATTTTATATTTGCCTGTAGGAATTGGTGTAAAAGACTAGAACTTCCTCTTCCCATTTTTCTTTAGATTCGATAAGATATGCCATGCCCCTTCTCTATGACCAAGAAAGACATGGGAATAATATAGTGATTTGATTTATTTTGCAGGTTAGAGATATTTATGATGGCGGGGATTATCTGGTTTTGGTCACCACTGATAGGCAGAGTGCATTTGATAGGATTCTTGCTTCAATTCCATTCAAAGGCCAGGTTGGTTTGCTCTGGTTGCCTGTTTATTGTGATTATTATTATATTTGCATTTAAAGTAAATTTGTTTTTCTAATTTAATTCAATCGAATAAGGGTAAGAAGCAAGGAACCGTCGTAGTTTACTGGATTTTTTGATTGATGGTAAATATTTAATTTTTGGGTTGATTGTTGTAGAATTGTTGCTGCAATTGTTTACTGCTGTAAATTTCAGGTTCTCAATGAGACCAGTTTGTGGTGGTTCAACAGAACACAGCACATAACTCCAAATGCAGTTGTGTCAGCTCCAGATAAAAATGTTACAATTGCAAAGAAATGCTCTGTCTTTCCTGTTGAATTTGTTGGTGAGTATCTATCCATTGGGTTGTCTAAATTATTAGTTTATTATGTATTGATTTTGCAGTCATTCAATATTTCAATGTAAAATTATTAGGTAATTGGTAATCCATTATTTAATTCATACAGATTTTCTTGCTATTTGTAGTCAGAGGTTATGTGACTGGAAGTACTGATACATCACTATGGACGGTCTACAAAAATGGTGTTCGCAGTTACTGTGGCAATGCACTCCCAGAAGGTGTGGATTCTGTTCTAAATTGTTTTTATTTTTATTTTTTTAATTTACTAATTTCAATGTGTGATGGTCTCTTAACGTGTTTGGTATAGGGTTGGTAAAAAATCAAAAGCTACCTGGAAATATACTGACACCAACAACTAAGGCTGAGGATCATGATGTTCCTGTAACTCCAGATGAGGTCAACCTTTTCCTCTGAACTCAAACTGAAATGAATGAATGAAAAGGGAAAGGTTTAGAACCCCTTATCAGGACATATTGCTTTCTCCATGGAGGCCTTGCTTCAATGTTAAAGGATAGGCTAGGGCCCTGGGAGGCCATTGGTTCAAATCCCCCACCCTTTTGTTCATGGGTTTCAAAATTTCTAGATTGAGGATATTGTTGACTTGCCCTTCGTTTATCTGCTGGGTTTGTTAGTAAATGTGGTGTGTCTTCCTGCAGATAATTGAACTTGGACTGATGACTCAAGCTGAATTTGATGAAGCAAGAGAAAAAGCTTTAAGATTGTTTGAGTATGGACAGGTGATTTAACTTGTCTTGCAAAGTTTTATGAATCTATTGAGAGGGCAATTTGTTGCCTGGATCCCATCATTCGATTTTCCATGAGGCTTTTTGGGGAGGAACAATTCTACTGCTTTTTTGCTGGTTGCCGTTATTATAGTGGTGGTAAGTGTAACTGACCTTACAATTTCTTCGAAATTTCAGTGCGTGGCTTCAGAGCATGGCTTGATATTAGTTGATACAAAATATGAATTTGGAAAGGGCAGTGATGGTTCCATTCTATTGATAGATGAGGTTAGCTTTCATCTTTGTGAAATATCCATTACACTCTCTGAACCCTTCTGCCTACTCTGAGCGTGTACCCATTATGCTCATCTTTTGTGTTTGCTCAGACAGAGTTGTGAAAGAATGTATGCTATTGCTAACTAACAGTACACTGATGAGTCTTTTTTTGTCCGTCTTATATCACAATTCTAGGTGCATACACCTGACTCGAGCAGATATTGGATTTCCAATTCTTATGAGCAGCGGTTTCAGAATGGCCTGGAACCTGAAAATGTTGACAAGGTGCTGTATGTTTATGCATACTGTCTTTAAGTCACACCATAAGCATATTCTTTTGCTGGTTATTTATGGAGATAAATTCCATGCCATTAATAATTTATAGGAGTTCTTGAGGTTGTGGTTCAAGGACAACTGCAATCCTTATGAAGATGAGGTAAGTTACAGCAAGAAGTTCATAATATGATCTTTGGCAACTGTCAAATATAGTGAATCTTATTGAGTGATACAATCTTTAGGTCCTTCCTGACGCTCCTGTAGAACTTGTTTCTGAGCTAGCTTGGCGGTATGTTTTCTATATCTTCACGTGTTTTGCCAAGGACTTACCTAGTAATAAGACATAAAATGAGCAAAGAATATGATGACTGTGTCATATGACTAATTATCATCCTGTTTTAGTGGCTGATTGATGCTGTGAAGATCAGCTTTTGTGTGGTCTTTTCTCTTTCATGTTGCTTGTAACACAACTAGAGTGCATCTCAAACTAAAGAAGCCATGTAAATTTTAGTATTTTCACAGTAGCTTTAAATTTTAGGGTTTGCTTTTGTACTTACATCGGTCTTAATGCAGATACATTTTTTTGTACGAGACAATAACACAATCAAGATTTGAGCTGCCCCAAACAGAGGTAAGATTTAGCATTGGTGATAAGAGCTTTCTTTGTGTTATGTGATATAAATTGACAATTCTAATCTCTTTATGTAGGGAACATTGCATGATCGGATCTCCCGGAATGTTTCCTTGGCATTATCATCGCTACTGTAACTATAGAAAAGAAAAAAAGAAGAAAAAGAAAAAATACCATGTCATCCAAGTGGAGGTGAAAGAAGATGATTTCATTTTCCTCGTTAACAACATATCCATTTCTTGTTACAGTGTTGACTTCATTGATCTTTTCCTGGATATTCCATGTGGGGGGCAGGGTTTCCGGATCCAGAGGCATATGGTGGGGACTTTTCTGGGTTTAACTCCTGGGCTAATCTCTGTTATTCTACAATGTATTGCCGTTTTTGTCCTCCATTAACAGTAGTGACTCAGATTCTCATAAGCAACGTCTTTTGATTATTTGAATTTGACAATAATTATCATGTGTCCATCCGTGACAGTGTTGAGAAAGAACAAACATGTTCAGGTTCAAACGATCTCGTCTAAATCAAAACTCTCAAGTTCTACTAGCATTTAGAAATATGGGTTTAGTCCAATTCTAGCCCCAACGTCAACACATGGCTTACCATGATATGATTGAGATATTCATCATCCTCCCTTAAATCATGAACCCTGTAACGGCTTGACCATCTACTGTCATCTGGAATCATTTTGAGCTTCCTTTCATGTCAATATCTGTATTTACAAAGTACGTTATCCTTTGGAACTACATTCCATATTATGCTGGAGCATTTAAACATAAGCTGGCTGATGATATGATTTTTGACAAACAGAAAGGGGGAAGGTTCTCAGCCATTTTCTTCGAACAAGATGAAACTCAATTCCTTCTTCCAATATATAGGAACCTCAAGAGCATGTTGATGGTACCACCGAGATATTTTCACGGCATGAGTCTGCCAAGCAACTGAAGATACCAGCCGACGCGTAGCGGGGAGACCAGCAAAGACTGAGCAAATCACCATAAAAGGGCTGTTTGGTTAGACACCAAATTTATAGGAAAAAGTGGTTAAAAAAATATGATAAAAAGTTGATAAGTTTTATAATTAAGTAAAATAGTAATATAAAAACATTAGTAAAGAAATTATCAAATAAATTTTACATAAGAAATAAAAAAGGTGAGAAGAAATTTTTACTTCAA